ATCTGTGCGCTGTGGAGGCAGGTGCCACTCCAGGCTGGGCTTCACCCCCTGAGCCCTGCTGCAGCTAGCTTGGAAGCAGTCCAACACCACATGCGTCCATTTGCTGGGTGGGCAGAAGATGAGGCTCAGCCCAGGGTGGGACTCATGTGGAATCGGGCCGCTCCCAGGCCAACTGCAGTGGGACTTGGGGCGCAAAGCCCAGCCCACAGCAGCAGCCGCCTCCACCGCACACACATTGGGGGCAGGGGGCACATGTCCCATCCAAACATGGAGCAGCACAGGTGGCTGTAGCAGCTGTGAGGTAGGGAGTGGGGCAGGGGCAGAGGCAAGCCCCACATGGCTGGGGCACGTAGCCTGGGAGGGCACAGGGAGCGCATGCCCCCAGATCTGCACACAGGGCAGGCTGTAGGCTGGGGCCAGGATGGCATCATGCTGTTCCCAGTGGAGGTGTTTGGTCATGCTACACTCAGGCCAGGTGGTGGTGTTGGGAGTAGGGCCATGGTGGAGGAGCTGCAGCCACCTCAAAATTTGCCATAGCCTCCTCCAACCCCCACTCCCAGCACCGCTGCCACCCAGCCTGAGTGCAGTGTAATCAAACACCTCCACCGGGTACAGTGCAGTGCCACCCACTGCATGCACCCCCTGTGCCCTCCTGGGCTGCATGCCCCTACTCTCTCTGCACCCCCTGGACAAGCTGCTTGTGGCTCTGTCTCCGTCCCCACTCCCTCCCTCACCACAGTTAGGAGGGTGGGGGCAGATCAAGGCCCCTGCAGTGAGGGAGGGAGTGGGGCTAGGGCTGGGGCCTCGATCTGCCCCCACCCCGGCCCTTTCCCCTTCCTTTTACCACACGGACCTGGGTTCCTTTTAAGTTCCAAAGGTGATCTCCGACTTTAAATGTTTGAAGACCACTACCCTAGAGGATAGGCTGGCAATCCAGGCCAGTTTTAACAGGTTTGCAAGGTGGGTGGATCAAAACCTGATGGTGTTCAGCACTGAAAAATGCAAGGTGCTCCACCTCAGGAGAAACAAGCCACATCAGACTTATAGGCTCGCTAGCACCACAACTGAAAGAGACTTGGGGGTCATGATGGACCACAAGATGAACATGAGCCACCAATGTGACACCGGAGTCGGCAAAGCAAACAAAACTCTGGCTTGCATCTACTGATGCATCTCAAGCAATACCCAGCAAGTCATCCTCCCACCTTACTTGGCCCTGGTGAGGCTCTATCCAGTTTTGGGTTCCACAATTCGGAAAGGATGTGGTGAAGCTTGAGAGGGCCCAAAGGAGAGCCGCGTACATGATTAGAGGACATGAGAGCAGGCCTTATGAGGAGAACCATGGGACTCTTCAGCCTGGAAAGCGTAGGCTCTGGGGTCACTTGGTGGCAGCCTGTAAGTACATAAGGGTGTGTATCAGGAACTGGGGGTGCCCTGGTGAACAGACATTTTCCTTTGGACCTTGTCTTCCCTTGGTCACAAACTCCTGCAAGATTGTTTTAGGCTGGATATAAGGAAAAACTTCTTTACTGTCCAAGTCCCTGGGGCCTGGAATAGACTCCCCCCAGAGGTGGTGCAAGCACCTACTCTGGACACTTTCAAGAAACATGTGGATGCCTATGCTGCTGGGATCTTTTGACCCCAGCTGACTTCCTACCCCTTGGGCAGGGGGCTGGACCCAGTGATCTTGTGAGGTCCCTTCCAGCCCTAATATCTATGAAATCTTTGAAATCTGATCTCTCTCTAGCCAGATATTTTTGTAGATGTCTCTCACCATACTTCTGAGTCATCCAGGTGAGAACTAGGTACAGTCAACTTCAGTGCCTGTGTTCAGTTCTTTACATTCACAGAAGCACAACCTAAACCCTATCCTATATTTTTATTCTACAAATAACATTGATATGAACTTTATCATTAGGCAGACGTGTCTAGGCAAATGTAACCTCATTTGTTGAAGATCAGGATTCAGACTGGGTTTTTGAGCTGGGGATACCTGGAATTGTATGTGCATGTTGCAGTTAGTTACCTGGAAGAATTAATATTGAGTTGGTCATAAAACTTAAGAGACTTAACATGTTCATGTGTTATGATGGCTAGGTGGCATGAGATGAATTGAAGTTTGTATGGATGTGAATATTTGTTTGACTGGTAATGGGAAATGCAAGAATGAAACCTCAGCTCAAAGTGAACAAAGTTTTAGTTTTTGTGTTATCCTGTTGCTGAGTAGAAATGTATCTGGGTTTTTTTCTGTTGTTGAAGTTTCTTTGGAATATAGTATTATGAGATGCTTAGGCACAAAAGGAGTTAGCTTACAGTCATATGGCAACCTCAACAAGCATTAATTACTCTTGTTTTTACATCGTGTTGCTGGGAGTCCTGGGGTAAGGAGAAGAGAGGATTGAGATTAGGTAATTTAAAAAAAAGTCTGGTTTGCATAAATTTATGATACTTCCTTTCAATATATGTAATCTCTCTTTAATATATTAACATGTTAACAGTAAAGGTACATGTGTTTTCCTATAGATGAAGTATTTAGAGGACATGAGCCAGGACAAGCTGCAAATAGATCTGTTTCAGCAGCAGATGTTGTTTTATATGGAGTTAATTTAGTTCTACCTTTGATGTCCCAGGATCTGCTCAAAGTAAGAAGTTCTCATATTTTAATAAATATACTTAATGTATATTCTACTTGATTTTTAACTTTAATCCAGCAGATTAAAATAATGAGTTACTTAAGTTTATTCTATATACAAGGCATTTTCCTAGTAACATGTGAAGATACCCTAAAAAAGTTATTTGTCTGTAAGATGTCTGGACTACTTCAAAACCTTATTCCATATTTGCCCATATATAGGGTTACTTAGTATATTAAATTAATATAATGTACCTGGTGTAGTCTGCATTGCTTGTTTTCCTGATATTATTTTCTTTTTCATCATATGTCTTCTCCTGTAACCTTTTGTCATCTGTTCATGAACCGACTACCTAGCTCTTATCTTAATTATTAAAACTATTCACATTTGGACAAGTACGTATATATTATGTGTTTTGTAACTGATTATCACTTTTGCATCTCTTAGTAAGGCAATATTGAATAAGTTAATGTTATGACAGGTTTGTGTCATGTACACACTGTGTGTGTATGTATGGCTTCCTTAAAAAATCAAATGTATCTCACTATTAATGTCCATAACCTATAAGTTTCTACCTTACTTGCAATTATTGTTGTCTGGTGCAAATAGGCCAGATCAGAATTTCAGCTGCATAGAGATTCAAGTACTAGTAAAACAATAAACTGTCTTGAGTTTAAAATTACCAGTGTTTTTCTTTTGACAGTTTCCATCTCTGTGTAATCAGTACTACAAATTAATCACCTTCATCTGTGAAATATTCCCAGAGAAAATTCCACAGCTTCCAGAAGACTTGTTTAAAAGCCTAATGTACTCACTGGAGTTAGGGATGTCATCGTATCCTTAACACTGTATGGGTGCACAGCCAAAAGGGTGGGAAAAAATGAAAAGTGCTTTAATGAAGAAATCATTAAAACTGATACTTTCCTGGTTCACATTCTCTCTGATAAAGCTCTGTATTTATAATTGTTCTGCCATAGTTAATATTCATTCTGAAGTTAACCTCTGCATTCGGTTTATTATTAAAAGTTGCTGAAGCAGTAGCATCCACTGAGGTTTTAGTTTTCCCTGAGTTTCTCCTGACCCATAGCATTCCTTTAATACAGCTTGTAAATGGCTTGAGGTGTATGTTCTTGCAGACACTTTCTACTGTTGCTTCAGTTCATAGCGTCTGTAACTTCATAAGCCCTTCAGCTGGTATCCCAAAGCCATTCCTGAATTAGTTGCTCAGCTGGCAATGCAAAACACTACTGCTGTTCTACTGGGCTGCCTCCAGAGTATTTCCTGTCATGTTGCCAATGGGTTTTCCCTTTTATAATGGGAGGGCCATTTTCACTAATCTGTGGCACGTGCCATAAACAGATGAGAAGCTTGACCATAAGGGACTCTTTCTGAAAATGTTATGTCACAGAGGGTTGTATTACATTAGAGTGTGTAGCTAAGAAAAGAAGGCAACAAAGATTTCTTTTTATTAAAGAGCACTGTAGTGAAAATGAGATCCAAGGATGTGTGCTCACTAAAACACTTGCTAATGAAGCTATTGAGAAATTTACCACAACTGAATAAGTCACACATTTCTTTTTCTTTAATACTTAATATCAGAATGAGTTCTGAAGTGTGCCAGCTTTGTCTAGAAGCTCTAACACCATTAGCAGAACAATGTGCAAAAGCACAAGAAACAGATTCATCCCTCTTTCTAGCAACAAGGCACTTTCTTAAGGTAAGATACCTAATTATGTCACACTGCTATTGTGCTTAATTAAAAATATACAGAGTGATGATGGGTCCAGTGCCTCCATTAAGTTATGCACTGTACACATTCATTGTAAGAAGCAGTTCCTGCCTACAGAACTTAATATAAATAGAGACAGGCAAGGGGAAATGAAGGCAGAAAGGGGGAGTGATGTGTGTGCAGCTACCTGCCAGCTTTGATGGAGACCTGGAACTTTTTGGTCTTCAACTCATATTTTACTTCTGTAAATTTGACTTTGGAATTCATTTAAAGGTTTTTATTAAATATCAGTGAAGTCTGCTAAATACTTAACTCAGAACTAGACCAGTGTAGAGAAGCGTACTTCTAAGTTTAAGAATGGATAGATGAAGATGAAGAAGCAACAGGAATAGGATGGAGAGAGAATGACTGATTCTTAAAATAGAAAAAAATAAAGGTTTCTTATTCTGATTTCTTATTTAAAGAAACTACATGGTTTTTAGCCAAGTAGGTTCAGGGTAAACCCTTCTGAGCAACCTGCTCAACTTTTTATTCAGGTGGGTCTTAATGAAACGGTCAGTTGCTACCAGACAGGAGTGAGTTCAGAAAACTTGTGTGATCATCCCCTGTTTAAATGTTTAATTAAAAGTCTATTTTGCTGTTCTCTTCCAGTGCAGACTAAGTCTTGCTTGGGGCCTCAGTTTTCTTACAGCACACTTGCTAACGTCTGAGCTTCTTAGGGATTGCTCATGACATCTTGTTTGATAACTCTGTCAGTTGGGCTGAGAATGAACAATAAGCCTTAATACGTTATCCATCTTAGTCTTCCAAATGGACAGACTTGTTTATCACTCTCTTCTCTGACTTTGCCTTAAATTCTCCGACTTCCCTTCCTCACTATCCTTCTATTTCTTTGAGCATTATAATGATCTGAAAACAGCACTTGACAAACCTGATTGGTAGCCTCCTAATGTTATTCTTGAGAAACAACCCGTTCATTTAAGTCTTTCTCTTATAGAGCTGTGGTTTTTGGAGAAAAGTCTGAGATGTTTCCCCCCAGAGACTGACCATACATAGATAAATAGGGCTTTGAAATCTGTTGTATATGTAAGTTCTCTCCACTGGGAGATCTCAGTGCTTGTTCAAGGATCTATCTTTAGAAAAAAGCCTAGACAGCTTCCAATTTCTAAAAACTAGATCCAGTATCCATGTTAATAAAGCAGATTGGTTAGGGTTGCTTCTCAAGTTTCCTCCACCAAGACTCTCTGTACTGGTTGCCCATTTCTAAGAATGGAAGTCTGTAGAGCAGGGGTGTAAACTCGCCCACAGGTCAGATGAGTGGCATGGGGCCAGTCCACAGCATTGATTGGGCCCATGGACTCCCGCACCCTCCACCCCATGCATGCTGTAATCAGTGCCTGCTCTGGCTGGTTTGGGATGTGCACAGCACAAGGTGCTTGCTCCAGCCAGTCTAGGACCAGTGCAGTGTGGGTCCTGGGCAGGTGTTGTGTACAATGCAGGTCCTGGGACTAGCCAGGGTGGGACTTGCATGCATCGTCTGGGTCAACTCAGACCTGGGAGAAGATGATGGGGCTCCACAGGCCAGATCTTGGACAACCCTGTTGTAGAGATCCTTTCCATGACAAAGACTGCTTGAGTTAGAATATCTGGAATTCATGAAGTATTAGTCCCCTGCAGAATCACATTCTTCCTTCTTTCAGTTTCTTCACAGTTCCTGAAGAAAGGACTACGGGTGAGGCGATCTTTCCCTTTGTTGTCATAGCCACAGTGCCCATTGACACATGTAGTGAGCTAAAAGGCTACATTTATAATGGTTTGATGTTCACCTGTTATGGGACATGAATCTTAAGCTGGCTCCCTGGAAGAAATATATTTAAAGAACTCCACTTCTTAGTAAACAGTGTTATTTTATCCCTGTAATACTGCAGGTTTTTTCTAGCAACGTATTGCCTTACTGGTAACTTTACACAAACTGAAAAACTAACACCTGTAATTTTTTGCATGGGGTTTTTCACGTGTTTCAGGTGACTCCACGTATATATTGAATGCTGTGTATTTGGCCTATTGTTGAATTGTAAATATGTCCTTTCTAAACATAGGATGCATGCACCAATAAAGAATCACGTATGTGGTAACATATGAAGATAGTATTGCATGTTCATTTCTGATGTGTGAAGGCAGGAACAGAATTATCTTAAAATTTGTACCTAGTAAAATGTTGTTGTTTGCAACTCGAATGCATCTCCAAATACCTGAATTATCACAGCAGAAGCTAGCCTCCTTTTCCTGCTTATTCAGTACAACGTAATATGTTTTCCTTCCTAATCAAATCCTCTGCCCTGAAAATTCCTATTTTGTATTATAACCAGAAATCATTTCAATTGATCAAACTGGGTAAATATATCCTGCTTGTTGCAAATGATCATGTTTCTATAACACTATAGCTCTATTTTTGACCAGTTCTGTAAGCACTAGTTGCAAATATTTCCAGAAGTCCTTACTTGTGAACTCTTGTTTTTGTCAGATCTTTAAAGTTTTAAAGGTGCATCTGTACTGCCACCAAAAGTGTTGTTGTGCCATATGTATGCATAACCTTAAGCTAGCTTCAGTCTAACTAGTCCTGGTAACGAGTGCAGTGAAGATGTATGATGGCAACTGCTAGAGACAGTATGTAGGGTCCCTAGCAGGATTCAAGGCCATGACAGCAAAATTATCCAGACTTACCTGAGCCAACTGGTTCATAGCTAAGCAAGATGCACCTACATATACTGCAGTCACAGCATCATGCCCCCTGAATACAAAGTACCTGATAGATGGAATGGAGACTTCCTAAACTCTGATCATTAATTTCCCAAATAAAATTTTGCCTTCTACTTTGATCTATAGCAGTAACTGAGAATCAGTGTTTTAGTTAATGAAACTATTTTGTTTTGTGATTGTTTTTTTTTCAGATGGTCTTTGACATGCTGGTACTGCAAAAGCACAATACAGAAATGACAACTGCAGCAGGAGAAGCATTCTACACGTTAGTGTGTTTGCATCAGGTATGGTGTTCTGTTTTGTGGAGCTATTTTGCAGATAGTCTTTATCTATGTTAAGAGTTTTGGTGCATCTATTTAAAATGCCTCTGTTATAAAACAGCATTTGGTGGTAGATTTTTTTACTTGTTGAAGGAAGGCACAAGAGGATCCTACCTTTTCTTACTTATCAGCTTCATCCTTAGTACATTCCTTCCTTGCAGCTGGAATTTCCTTGTTTGCCTATTGGCTTCTATTAGCTTTGACAAAGGTAGACTATTCCACAAAACATCTATGGGCTGTCCTTCTGTGATGCTTACTAATGTCCTGCATCTATGCAGAATCAAAGCTAAATTTGCCAGTACTTGTTATAAAGCAGGGCTGCCCAACTTCAGAGCAGCTGAGGTCTGGGATTATGGTTAAATAACTGGTCTGTCAATTTTATTTCTAGACATGTCTTACCTTTATTATTGTTTTTCTAGGAAAATTAGAGTAGAACCATGTCAAAGTTATTTTGCAAATGTATGTCCCTTAACCTTTTAAGTATTAAGCATTCCTCAGGTTTTATGGCTCTGTGCTTATGATACAAAGTAGCTTTTTAATGAAAAGCAGCCATGCAGTTTCTTCATACTGACTGATTATGAAGCCTATTACTCCTTTCTTTTTTCCAACTTCCTCGAGGTTGAAAGTTACAGATTTTTCTCTCAGCAGTGTTCACTAGAGCGCTTCTCTCTAGCTGTCACAAAATCAGCTTGGGAATCTCAAAGCCTTGGGTTTATTTGAAAAGGAAGAACTGGCAATTTTCATTAAAGCTTCAAAGTAGGTTATTTAGGTATTCAAAACATACACATGTATGATTTCCAAGTGTACATAATACATGTTGTCAATGTCTAGCCACCTAAAAATATGAATTAGACCTTCCAAATGAGTAACCTAAAGTTGTGAATTTTTTTTTTTTAAATAACTTTTGGGGGGTTCTTCATTTGCATCTGGTTTACCATTAGGATGTACATGACTCGTGTCTTCAATTGCTCTCTACAACAAGGGTTAGAAACACAGAGCTTGAGTGTTTAATGAAAGCTGAGGATCTGACATCGCACTTAGTTCTAGAAACTCAACTTAAAAGAGAATATAATGAGATTTGGCAAAACTAACACTCCCAAACTCACTTCCCAGCTACCAGAATGAGAGAACTTGGCAGAATTTTCAGCACTCCTCCTCTTAACATTAGGAATGAAATAGTTGACAGTTATATTTAAACTACCATTGTTGGGCATCTGTGCTAGCTCCTCACTATCAAGATTGGAGTGGTTTCTACCTCTCAGCTTTTTTTTCAAACTCATTTTGACTTACTGCATTGATTATGCACATTCATATGCTTGATATTTTCCCTGCAGTCAACTGCCAATGATGCATTTGTTAAAAAAAAAAAAAAATAGCTGAGACTGGCAGATCATTTAACAGCCTCAGTTCAGTCTGAGCCCTGCTTCAAGCCTTGCTGGTGAACATGGCTCACCACAGAAATGATGAGGAAGGCATTTTAAATCCAAACACAATGCCACGTACAAATTAGAGAGGTGGTTAGCCAAGTTAGCCTGAAATTAGGCAAACACAGGGCAGGGTGACGCCTTAGACCAGTGGTCTCCAAAGTGGGGTGTTTGCAAGATGATTCATTGGGGTCCGGGAAGAAAATATTAGAACTTCTATTTATATTTATGTAAATATACATATATTGGGGGTGCATGCTCAAAAATGTTTGACTGATAGGGGTTCGAGATCAAAAAAGTTTGGAGACCACTACCTTAAAGTGTCACCACCCATCATCTTTCATTACTTTGTTAATCCTCCCCTAAAAAACACATTTTGTGATTGATTCCCAGTTCTTTGCTAGCTTCTCTGTAAAATGGTGAATAGCAACTATCACTAACTAAAAAAAGAAAATTGTGTAGAGTGACTTTCCTTATATTACATTCCTTTCCGTCCACCAATGCCTTATTCTAGTTTCCCTATGAGGTTTTGGTATTCTGGCTCTCTCTGGCTCTGTGATTGTACCACAAAGAAAACTGTTGCTCCATCATCACCCTTTGAAGTTGATTTCCAAAGCTTTTATTTAAAGCTGCTAAATAGTAGCTCATGGGGATGGAATCTTTTTTTCCACATGTGGCTCATACGATTCAGATTTTCCATAGTTATTTGGAAACAAAATCTTTTAAAATCTTACTTGCATATTTGAGCCATTGTTCCTTTGTGATTTTTTTTTTCCCTATAATTTTATACTGCTGCTTTATCGGGGGTGTACTGCTGCTTTATCAGTCAGTTGGTCTAGCATGAAGGGTTTGAAGAGGTAGTTAACCATGCTAGTCCAAAGTCAGGCAGAAGGTAGCTAGACATATGGTCACTCTATTCAAGATGCCATATCCAAGGTCCTTGCATTTGTTGCTTCTGCACAGTGGCAGGGGTGCTTGCCTGCCCACCTGCCTGGAACTGTTGACCAACCAGCCTTCAGAATCTGGCCAAAGCTGGACATGTGGTCACCCTAGACGTATGGGTTGTAAAGGCTAATGCAGGTAATGAGATTAGAATTTGTAGCCTTGGTTTAGATCAGGGGCAGTGATCCCCAGCCTGTGGGTCAGATTCAGTCCCTAGCACCTTGTCATCCAACCCACAGGACTCCCCATGGGGCCAGTGTGGGTCCAAAAGGTTGAGCACCACTGGTTTACATCCTATCTAACACAATCCAGTCTCTGAATGGTTTCTTGCTCTGCAGTTTCCTGTTTAAGTTGGTTTTTAAGGTTTTGCTGTCTAAGAACAGCCACTCTTGACTCAGGAATATTCCACCCAGCAACTTCATTTCTTGGATACCACTGTGAAAGTTTGCTGTGGTCATATCACCACCATGTTCATGTTAGAAACTGACGGACCACTGCAGCTACCTCCACACCAGCAGCTCTTATCCTAAATACACCACTAGATCCAGTGTCTACAGCCTAGCTGTAGGTTACAACCATATCTGCGCTGATCCCACTGACCAGAGTGCACACCTTAAGGATTTGGAGAAGGGATTCTTACATTTACAATACAAGCGTAAAATGGTAGCCACTTAAATCAACAGAGCCAGATTCAGCCTCCACTCTGACCTTTTACAATGTCAACTCCAAAACAAGGACAACACCAATTCCTTTGGTTGTCACCTACTCAGACACATTAATAATGAACTCAGCCCTTCCTGGAAAAAATAATAACCATCTCAAGGTACTATGGGAGACAAATCTGTCCTGGCTTACAGTTAGTCCCCCAACCACAATATCTTTCCAATAATAGACTTCTTAACTCCTATTCTCACCAAGGCACCAGACCTTGTTCTGGACAAGGATGCCAGCTGTTCCCCCTCATCAACATGGACCATATCATCACTGGACCTAATGATGTGAATTATAACATCCAAAGTCCATTCACCTGTTCCTGTACCAACATGATATACACTATCATCTGCTAAATGCCCCTGTGCTGTCTACATTGGACAAGCAAAGCAATCCCTATGTGAAAGAATGAATGAACACTGATCTGACTTCAGTTTCAGAAAGACAAACAAGCTTCTGGACATTACATTGCTGACCATAGGGTAGTTGTTTTTGGACAACAAAACTTCATGGCATCTGATGAAGTAAGCTGCTGTTTATGAAAACGTATGCATCTCTGATTCAGTCTGTAAGGTGTACATCTACCCCACTTTTTGCCTTTAAAGAGTTTTACCTAATTTGGGCATGTTGAGGGTAGCTCCACATTTACTTTTACTGCCCTTTTGGTTACACTGGCTATACGAGAAGTGGTACTGTACACTAGTATTATTATATAAATTATTTTAAAGCTGCTGATAACTTCCCATCACAAATTGATTTTGTTTGCAGTTCTTTGTCCTGGTATAGGAAGGTGTATACAGGATGATTTGAATTTTATTTTCTATGTTGTTAATGGCTGCTGTTTGCTCAACAGGCAGAATATTCAGAGCTAGTTGAAACATTACTATCAAGCCAACAAGATCCAGTCATTTACCAGCGATTAGCAGATGCCTTCAACAAGCTTACTGCAAGCAGCACTCCTCCTACACTGGACCGTAAGCAGAAGATGGCCTTCCTAAAGAGTTTAGAGGAATTTATGGCCAATGTTGGTGGACTTCTCTGTGTAAAATAAACAACAAAACTCCTATGCCTCATTTAGACCCTTTCTGCAAAATGCACTGAGAAATGCTGAATGCTGACTAAACCTTGTAACTATTTCTGGGTTCTTTGCAGCCATCTCAGATTTTAGAGAGCCTGGAAGTTTGATATAACACAGTGAAATAGGAGAGGTCAACTCTGAATCAGCTTCTGCTATTGTGTGTTAGCCACAATCTGTCATACTTTGTTTGTTGTAAAGAATGAACAGCAAATTGACATTAAAAATGTGCAAACCAATATGGGCACAGTGAAAAATAGCTTCAGTGCCTTTTCCCCATTGGTTTAAAACATGAGTGGCCAGACAGACTTTTACAGATTATTTTTTTTTGTTACTGAAAATCATCATAGATTATGACGTAGACACGTACAAAACTGTAAACAATTTAGCTAATTCAAGTTTTTTTCCTCTCTGAAGGTTGAATTAGTGATCCAATGAAAAAACACCAAATGGTATTTTAAACTTGTGTTGTTTTTCTACATCAGCCTGGTGTTGCATGTTTTATGTAATACAGGTTTCTATGTTATGTTCTGCTGCCTGAAGTTCAAAAGGAAAAAGGTGTATATTTTTGTTCCCCTAAAATGAACTTTAGGAACGGTAGCCATTTCATTGCCTTAATTTAAAAAAAGAAAAAAGAAAAAGCTGATACACTTTAGATAAGAAGTGTAAGGCAAGATTTGAGTCTTTAGAGTTAGCTTAGGATGTTGGCATTAAGCTGCTGGGTATCTGTTGCAGCCCTCTTCATGTGGATGTACAAGTAAAGTTGGAGTGCGAGTCTAAAGCAAGGTTCATGTGTAGTTTTACTTTCAGTACCTGTTTTAACCCACACCCAAGTCGCACACAGCTGCAATGTATTTCTACACTGAACCATTTGCTTAAGCAATAACAATTCAAAGGGTGTAAATTAGTGATTTTACAAACTGTTTTTTAAGTTGGGGCATTAGATAAAACAATTATGCTAGTCTGGGGGTTCCAAATGGTGTTTTAGCCAAGGGCCATATATATTTGTTTTTTAGGGGCAGAAAGACTATTAGTATCTGCAGTGAATTTTTTTCCTGCTACCACCTCCAGATCTTTTGGTGCTCTTGCCTCTTGCTCCTTTGCTCAGCTGTGTGTGTGAACACGTCAGCTCTTAGGGGGTGCGGGGTGGGTATGGGGTTGCAGCGGGGTTTCATATTACCAGCCAATAGCTGGATATAGCGGAACAAGGGAGAGAAATGCAAGAACATGGAATCAGATGTAAGTCATGAGCCAGACAAAGCTGAAATGAACACACACAGGTTGTATGCTGGATACAAGGTTTTGTCAGGGAGCAGGCAAGGAAGAATTTGGCCCTTTGGTCTTATGCTTGAGACCTCTGCTAGATTGTGATGTTGAATGTTTTCCATGTGGTTTTTACATTTATATAAAATGTACAGTATATACACCTTTACAGTGCTGTGTATAGCATCATGTTTGCAACTGTGCCATTCTTCAGCTTTTCATCTCAAAAAAAAAAAAAAAAAAAAAAAAAAA